AATGCTGCGATTGGCCCGGGCCAGCAGGCTGCAGCCAGACTCATCTTCTAAACATAGAGAGCAGATCTGATCTGCAGCTCAACATGGTCACACTCCTACAGCAGGTGTCACTTTAATACAAGACTGGCCTTATTAAGTTTGTTTGTCGCTCTGGAAGAATCTCCATCAGTTTATTCAGTCTTTTATTCGTCTCTCTTGAAGAGTAAAAGACGTATTTTCAGCCCAATTTGTTTGATCTTTCCTTGTTAGTAAGTGAGTAAGATATTACTGGAAACTGTGCACAGATATCAGTGGAATTTGGGGTAAGTGAAAGTTTTTTTTTTTTTTTTTTTTCTTAAAAATCTGACTTTTTGGAGATACACAGACAGATATATGATAGTTTTGAAGAATATGAAGCATTTCTGTAGATAAAACTATCCAACTGTATATAAAACAGTTTAAAATGAGCTCGAGCTTAAACATCTACAGCAGTAAAACACAACATGCACATTAATGCAGTAGTAATATTAATCCAAAAACATCAGATAAAATACGTTTTTATTACTTTTTCATACTTTATGTTAGATTTTTAAAGCAGTTTTTACTAACAGTTGAGTATTAGAAATGTGATATTAGATATAGTGAACATTGCAAGTGAGATACTCAACTGATCTCACTAAAGGTTGAACATTGCTGTGATCTGCAAGAGGAATAACTGGAGGAAAGCATTTTATAAATGACTAAAATCAATATGTTTAGGCCCCTCCATCCCTCCTTAGATTATTATTTTTTTGTAATTATAACCGTGGTTAATAATTAAGGATTTGCAAACCCTGACCCTGACCCCCTTTTTTACATACCTCACTTGATTTGAGTGGATAATACACGTGATTTCAATAAATAATAAAGCAATAATGCTATCACTCATGAGGTCTTTTTGCTCATAAGATATTAAAAGGCACCACCAGCACATTATAAGTAAATTAAAGCTGCATAATGCATGAAGAATAGATGAGATAGACACTAGTCGGTTAGTTGGTTTTGGACTAAATGCTGCGTTTTGAGGCTTTTTAACTCTTGACAAGAAGAACATGTGTCGTGGAACTACTGTAATATATTATTGTTATAAGCACAGGGTCACTTTTCTTTTACATTTAGGTAAAATAAATCATCTAAACATTCAGTTCAAAGCACAGAAAGTTTGATTTTCATATAACAAATGTGGTTAAAATTGACCCAACGTCAGATAGAATATAAACACAAAAAAACATAAAACATCAAAATCTTAGTGTAGAAAACTCAGGTGCAATAAAATACACATTAATACAGAGGCCTATTTACTACATGGTGTTGAATGTTGTGCAAGTTTTAAGCAAATTAAAGCTACCTTTATGTGAATATATTCAAGACATTGCGGCAAGATTACATTGTTAATCCTTTGTATAAGAGTTAAAATGGTCTTCTGATTCCCGTGTTGTTTGCATTAGACAGAGAGGCAGGCGAGCTTCAACTGGACTCAGACCTGACTTTACTGCAGGCCTGTAACAGGGAGCAGCAGCAGGACATTCATTGTTGGTCTAAAGCAGGAGCAGATTTCTGTCGGCCTTCATCTCATCTTCTTTTTTCTGCTATGAACATTTTTCCATCTTTTAAATTCAACTGTTTTGTGCACAAATTTGATAGCTTTGACTCCGACCTGTGGCCCTTTGCTGCTTGTCACTCCCTCTCTCTGGTTCCCCCCATTTCCTGTCACTATCAATTAAAGCCCCCCAAATAATGTGCATGAAATCAGTAGGGTGGAATTGTAACCTTCTGTGTTTCCTGACTCCTTACAAACCTAAATGACTCCATATCCACATCAGTAATCGGTGTGTAATTGGGTGAATCCGCGCAGAAACACTGATCTCAAAACACTAATTAACTGGTAAATCTTACAAAGGTCAACAGTGTGTCGGCCAAGGGTGAAGAGAGTAGCCACCATATGGCTAAGGATGCTCACAAGGAGTGTGTCTTCACTGCTCTTTTAATCTTTTGAGCTAATTGTGTTTCTGCCCCCCTCCCATCTTCTGGTGACTACGAGCTGCTTGTGCCCAGGCAGACAAAATGTGGTCAAACTCTAATCTACTTAACTGCTTTCCACTTTGTTTTTCCAATTATGGTCGGGCCTTGTTATTGCGAAGCTGGAACTTGCTGACATGGAAATTAATTTTGCTCTCCAAGCTAATTTTCTACTTAGAGTTTAGCAGCGATGAAGCGGTTCTGGCATTTAAGACCAGTGTTGGGCAGAAAGGCGTTACTAGTAATAATATTACAGTAATAATATTACTTTCTCCACTAACTAGTAGTGTAACTAATTACTAATCAATTTCAGTCATAATATCACAGTTACAACCTCAAAAATAATTAGTTACAAGCACTTTTGTTGGCAACCGCCTTTGACTTTTACAAACAAGTGTGTGGAGTAGCAGAAAAGTACATTTTCAGCTCCTGACAACAAGTTCATTTGACTTGTATGTAAAATGTATTTTAATTTTAACTTATTACATCAAAATGTCTTTGTAACTGACTTCATCAAGAACTTGAGTAATTTTAAGTAAGAGACACTTCATTTTGTAATTTTCTATTTTTGATGTGAAAACAAAATACCCAGTAAAAAGTTATTTATCAGGAATGTTTATGTAACTTATAAAACTAAGTTAGTGCCACTTGCTACAGTAAAAACTGAGCTTGTGTTACTTAAAAATGTTGATGTAATCAGTTTCAACAATTGTTTGAGTTAAATGAACTTATATAATAATATTACTTTTGAAAAGAGTAACAAGTGACATTACATTTTTTGAGTAACCAGCTCAACACAGTTGAAGTGAGTTGTGTTAAATTGTTTTCTGATATACAGATTGATGTAAAATAACCGATTGTTCAACATAAATCAATCAACTCTCTGTTTTATATGATTAATGGATCTCACAACTTAATGATTTAAGGTCCCTTTCACTCAAATATCAGTGTTTTCTTTTTGTTCTTACAGTTGAATGTTTGAGCATCACAGTGCAGAGTTTGACACTAAAAATGTTTTCACATTCATCTGCTGAAAGTGGAAAGTTTCTCTGAGCTTTAAGGGAGCGGCAAATCTCCGTCCAGTGTTCAACTTATACAAGTTCGATGTAGAGACTTGACCTGAGAATGAACTTAACAGTGAAGTAGGAGACATCTTGTGTCTAGCAGGAAAATAATTTGCATATTCATAGTTTCAGGATTTTTAAACAAGATAAAAGGAGTAGATTACTTTTCAAGGATTTTAATGTGGAAATTATAAGTTTTTTGCACACAAAAAACCAAACATATCAGGTAAGTATTATTGTTCCAAGCAGACTATTGTGTAATACATTTCTGGAGGGGGTCATGAGTTCAAATCCCCCCTTTGAGAGCTATAAAAGCTGTAAAATTCCTTAATGTTTTATTTTTATTTTACTTGATTCAAATGTTTTTATATAAATTCAAAGTTAGATTTTATGTGATTGTCTAACTGCCAAAGCCCATAAATTCCATAAAATATAGTACATATGTAAATATATTAGTCTCTTTTAGCTCATTGTTTTGGTTTTCTGGCCTACAACAGGCAGCTAAACACATTTTTTCTCAGTAGCGGCGGAGACAAAAGGAGAGTGAATCCTGGACGACTCGAGTTGGACATCAAAGTTTCCTGGCAGCAGCAGCTTGATAAAGGGGACAATATGTCAGATGTTGTGGTTAATGCAGCTTTAACGTGTTCATATGTCCAATCTAAGATCAGAGTCATGAGCGCAGTTATTATTAATTACGAGCACAGAACAAACAGCAAACAGAAAAACAAACAAACAAAGAGTCAGTACAGATGCCAGCGCACAGATGTCAGAAACATGGCCGCCCGCGTCCTCTTCAGATTAAGATCATTCACTCGAACCGCTCAACTGTGCGAAGAAACAGCCGATGAAAGCTGAAGCAGGAAGTTGAATGAACGTTAGACCACGAGAGGATGATCACGGCGTCCTTTAACAACAGCAGCGTTGTTTGACACCTGCTTTCAGTTTCAAAGCTGAAACACAATTGGGCTTTCAGAGAGTATTTTAATGGCTTGTTTGTCTTTGTTTTGAGGCCTTTTCTTTTCTTAATCATAGAAATAATGTCGGCTGCTTTTCATTTTGCCCCAAATTGTCGGACGTTTTTTGTAAACAGCAAAGTCAATTTCATTTAAATATGATTGCAGATCTGCTCCTCATTCATTCTCTCCCTGAGTGTTTTTTTATACGCTGGTTCTTCGTCCTCGACTACCAAACTGCTGCCTATATATGTAAATGCCACATGTCTGATGATTAATAATAAATGCGAGACCCTTATGAATGAGCTGAATTAGGGCGGCCCAAAACATCAGCCATTCAAAACCCCTATTATTCCCTCTGTGACCTTTCTCTCCTGGCAGCCAGAGGGAAGCGGATGATCTCTAGTTTGTCAAAAAAGAGCGAAATGGGAGTTAATAGGCAGCTCCTCAGCAAACACTGGGGGTCATTATGAATGGGAGGCAATCACACAGATCAAATATACAGCAGGGATGGAGGGGGGGAAATGGAGCTGGAAGTTGGAGGCAAAAGAAGGAGGAGGAAATACAAATTGAAGAGGCTGGTAAATATAATAATGTGCATGTAATCATCCCTTTAAATGCAGATACCGAAGAGGAGTGTTGACTGATGGATGCCCTCGTGGACAGAGGAGACACGAGGAGACGGAGCTGGATGGGAACTGGTCTAAAGTTACAACTCCTCTACCAGAGAGCCGGAGTTTTAGGAGTCATCGCAGTTTCCTTTGTCTCCCTCCTGTTGTTGTTTGCAGACGGTGACGAAGATCCGAGCACCAATGTTCCTCCAATGTGACTGATTGATCCAGTAGATGAACAGTAAAGATTAAGAGGATGACAAATAAGCATGCTGCTTACACAGCGCATGGGGCTAATCCTCCCCCTTCCACCCCCCAGGGCTCCCTTTTGAGGAGCTGCCACCGAGGAGCACCCACAGACAGTGACGGACCCCGACAGCCAGAAGGGAGGACTCACAACCTGTTGACGTTACAACAAGTAGTAGGAGTTTGAGCTCATGGCAGGACCCCAGCCCATCTACATCTCCACACCAGAGGCTGCAACACAGTAGAGGCTCTGCAGGGGACTCAACCCGCCATCTGCCTACTAGGGGGACCACTGGAGGCCTGACAGCTACATATTTTCTGTCTCTACAAAACAAAACCTGAAAGGAACTTGAACTTTTTTTGTGTCGATTCTGGACGTTGTATTTAAAAAAAAAACTTCAGAGAAGAGGACTAATAGTTTTTCAGCAAAGTTTCTTAACTTCATTCGCTTCAGAAGACGTTTTTATTTTTAAAAAACATTGAATAAAATGATGGAGGATCACCTGCCGAAGATCCCCATGATGTCCTCCGCTTCCCCCACCGAGTCTTCTGGGAGCGGCGGGACTGACGACTGCAGAGGAGGTAAGAGTTTCACCAGGAGCAACAGGTGTCCATAAAGCCTGACATATGGGACCCAAACCACCTTGATTTTTAAATTATAATTTAAGTTTGAGATTCTCGGGTTTGACGTCCCAGATGAACTGTATCGCGCTTTCTATCTGTTTAAATATTTAACTTGTTGAATTTAACAAGTTTCTTTAAACACCACACAAGCATGAAGTAAAACTAAAACATCATAAATATGCACATAAATCCCATTTTTATTCAAATAAAAGTTCATAGCTCAAAGCTCACATTTCTTAAACACAAATATTCTTAATTAAAGTAGAAGCAAAGCCTGAATAAATATTTATTATGCAACTGTAAGCAACGCTATCTGAATATATGTATAATTAATGGGTTTATTTGGATTAATATCAGTATCCCTGCATCGTTTGTGTTAGTTGTTAATCTGCCTGCAGCCATTTATTGTTTTAATTTCATAATCATCCACTAAATGAGATTTTCAGACCCAAACGTCTGTTGCAATATTGACTCGAGCTACGTGCAGACTGGGCTGAGAGTACAGATGGCAGGCACATGTGTGAAACAATACCAGAATACATGAATGGCACTAACTGACCTGCCCTGTGTGACTGTGTTTGGCTCACAGCCAAGAGTCCGGCCCCGGGGAAAGCTCTGAGTCCGGCCCTGGTCTGCAAAGTGTGCGGGGACACCAGCAGCGGGAAACACTACGGCATCTACGCCTGCAACGGCTGCAGCGGCTTCTTCAAACGCAGCGTGAGGAGGAGGCTCATTTACAGGCAAGAGAACGCTGCTGGACAACCATGTGTTTGTCATGATTAACAATGTAAATGAGGTGCATTATGGGAAGTTAAGGACAATTCAAAGTTGACATCAACATTGTCACAACATTAAATTTGGTTATATCCAGTAAAACCACACATTTTGTATAATATCATACAGCAAATTTTTGTTTTAGTTTATTAATATGCTCTGTCCCTGAGAAATAAATGAATAAACATTGCTGTAAATATGCCAGAATTTGCCAAAAAATTTAAACATTGTTGGTATAAATTCAATAAACAAGTTTGAAACAGTAAGAGCAGTGATTTTTAAACTACACCAAACGGTAAGCCAAAATCTTCAGGCACACCAGTATTCATATCCGTGCAAAATAACCTCTATAACATGTGTTATCGCTCATTAACATTTATTTTAATTGACTAATGCCAAATAAATTTGCAACAACTATAAAATATTTATTAAATAATAATTTACAGCAAGGCAGAAACACACCACGGCACAGAAATAAAGCAACAACAGATCAATAATATATATGTAATATAAATGTATGTTTGTGTTACATAACCAAAAATCCCCCAAAATGTTACCAAAAGTGTTGACAACCAAAATATTTAAAAGATCACTGCTTGGTTGACCCCATAGTCCACACTTATCTGTGCAGGTAGTAACAGGTGGTTTTTATTTCAATATAAATGTGTCATGAATGAATCTCGTTTCACCATAAATTTGTCTTTCTGTAATTATTACACAGTGTTTCAGTTTTTAAAGTCTTGTCTGTGGGGTTAACAGGTGCCAGGCTGGAACAGGCATGTGTCCAGTGGACAAAGCTCATCGCAACCAGTGCCAGGCATGCCGGCTGAAGAAATGCCTGCAGGCGGGCATGAACAAGGACGGTAAGTGTGTGGAAATCAACATCACAAACGTTCACCGTCGCCGTAAGAGATTCACTGTCTGTGAATCTGTGTGAGGTTAAAATTAAACCTCCCTGTCCTTCCTCACTGCAGCAGTGCAGAACGAGCGGCAGCCCCGCAGCACAGCTCAGGTCCGCCTGGACTCCATCGACGTGGACCCTGAGAAGGAGCACCTGGCCACCACACGAGAGCCCACCTCCTCTTCTTCATCCTCTTCCTCCTCTTCCTCCTCCTCCTCCTCCAGCGGGTCTGTCATCACGTGGCCCCACATCACCTCCTCCATGTCCATCACCTCGTCTGTCGCCCCCCAGCGCTGCATCAGTCCCCAGAACAACCACCGCTTCATGGCCAGCCTCATGACGGCCGAGACCTGCGCCAAGCTGGAGCCCGAGGACGGTGAGGAGGGTTTAATATCTGAGAGCAAGGCCGCTTGCCGGAAGTTACACTCAGATCAGATTAGTTAGACTCATTTTATTGTGCAGTTTTATCAAATAATCTTCAAGCTTCCACACCTGTAACTGAAAACCACAAAAAACTACATTTCAGGAAAACTTTGTCCCCATAAATTTAAATATTTGTGGTAGAAGCGGGACAAATTCATTCAGAAAAGAGAGAGAGGGAGAGAGAGAGGTGGTTTTATTGGACGGGAGAGGCAGAGGGGCGGGGTTGATCAAAATCCTGTGACGTAAGCTTATAAGTGGATTCCACCTTAGGTCATAATCACTGAATTATTGCCTGTTTTAGTTGTATTGATTGTGTTTTAGAGTGGATTTTATTGTGTTTATTGCACATAAATCCACTCTAAAACAATAAATCATACAATAAATGATAACATACAATAAATACAACCAAAATATGATAACATGCAGCATGTAAGCAATCCAGTATTCGCATAAACAGATAGCATGCTAACAAGATAAAAGGCCAAATGTTACAAAAGCATGACTTTACTTACTAGTTTGAAATATTTATTCTAAATTAATATTTAGAATAACCAAACCAGGACCTGACCCAGGCCTGATGCTGGTAGCAGAAGATAAACTGAACTCAACCCTGACTTTGTGTGTTTTCTGCTTCAGTTGACGAGAACATTGACGTGACCAGCAACGAGCCGGAGCGAGCGTCCTCGGAGTACCACATGGCTCTGTACCCGTCCAGCTCCGAAAATGTGTACGAGACCTCGGCGAGGCTACTCTTCATGTCCGTGAAGTGGGCCAAGAACCTGCCGGTGTTCTCCAACCTGCCCTTCAGAGACCAGGTGGGACATATATTCTCAGACACATTTACAACATACATGATTTAAATTACTACATTTTCTCTATTCAGATTTTATTTAAGAGTTTCAAAATGATTCAGTAAATAAATAATTTTTTTTTTTTATTTTTTTTTTTTTCTTCTTTTTTTTTTTTTTAAATAATTTTTTTTTTTTTTTTTTTTTTTATTTAATTTAGGGGGGAGAAAAAAAAAAATAATATAAAAGATCCAAATAAAAACTTGTGATATCTGATCATTTTGAGTTGATTTTGTATCTCACATAGTTTTTATAACTAACTTTCTAAGAAAACATACAAAACATAATTATCATAATTTCGAATTCAACATTTTTAAATACTATTATTTTAATGACAAAATGAAACAAATAATAACTGTGAAATATTAAGTCATATTTGTGACAACTTTTCATCTATAAATTATATCTTTATATCTCTGTTTTTTGGCAGTAACAGGCTTCCATATAACCCCTTTGTGCAGGTTTTTAAATGAACGTCTCTTGTTTGCGTCCCACCAGGTGATCCTGCTGGAGGAGGCGTGGAGCGAGCTCTTCCTGCTCTGTGCCATCCAGTGGTCTTTACCGCTGGACAGCTGCCCGCTGCTCTCTCTGCCTGACCTCTGCCCCGGCATGCAGGGCAAAACCAGCTACACCAGCCTGGACCTGCGCCTCCTGCAGGAGGTCTTCAGCCGCTTCAAGGCTCTCGCCGTCGATCCCACTGAGTTCGCCTGCCTCAAGGCCATCGTGCTCTTCAAGCCAGGTGAGTCTCATTATTGCACTACAGTAACAAGATGAATCAGTAATTGACTACTAAAGCGCAGATTAGCTTTAGGTTTTCAGATGGTGATATAATGGTTTTTATCTGATGGTAATAAACAGTTTGGACTTTAAGAGACTTCCTGTTTTTTTCTCTTGCGCCTCCCTCTGGACAAATTATTAAACCCAGTTTATTCCTTTTCACTTCAGACAGTTAAATAAAAAATAAAAATAAACAATAAACTACAACTCCAGTAAAGCAACTAAATGTGATACAAAAATGCTAATTTGAATAAAAGATGTTGTTTTTCTCACAATTTGTCCAGATAGATGTTTGTTGCATTCAGTTTAGTTACCATGGTCATATTATTTCATAGATTCAACACAAAGTGACTCTTTTTAGGCTCCTTTTTTGGAGCAGTTTAGATAGAAATACTGCAGCTGTCAATATTAATGAGTGTAATATGTGCAGAGGGTGACATCAGATCATAAAAAACAAAGTGCAACAGTATTCGTCTGAACTTGTGTGACTCACGTTGGTGTTTCTTCTCCACAGAGACTCGTGGTTTGAAAGATCCAGAGCAAGTGGAGAACCTGCAGGATCAGTCTCAAGTGATGCTGGGACAACACATCCGCTCGCACTACCCCAGTCAACCAGCCAGGTAACAGCCAGTCTTAAAACAGAAGGATTTAAGGGATTAATGTTTTAGAGCCACAAAACATGCAAATGACAAACTCTTATTCTTTCTACTCGTTTAAAAACAAACTCCCTGAATTTTGAAGAGCATAGTTTGGGATTTGGTGGCACTGCAACCCTAAAAATAAAAGGGATTTGGAGTGTACCTTTAATTCACTTCACTACAAGCAGATTAAAAAACATACCTTAGAGTAAACTTGCTCTGTATTTCTGCACAGGGCCTCAGAAGCCCTGCAGTTTCTGGGAAGGATTTGATTAAATATTAGTTATTTTATTGGCCAGTTATTAAGACGTTTAATAAAAATGCAACTAAATAACCTCTGTAGATGTAGTCAGACATCACAAAAATTCAGTATTAAGACCTTAAAGACTTGCTGACTTGAACTTGAAACATGCACCAATAGATGTTAAGTGTTTTGAGGTGGCTCTTAAACATGTGACATCTTGTTGTTGTGTAAATAAACACATTGTGCAGAGGTTTGATTTCCTGTTTGTTTCTCGTGTGTAATTTTAGGTTCGGAAAGCTGCTTCTCCTTCTTCCCTCTCTGCGTTTCGTGAATTCGGAACGGATAGAGCTGCTGTTCTTCCACAGGACCATCGGAAACACTCCCATGGAGAAACTGTTGTGTGACATGTTCAAGAACTAAAACTATGACCCAGAAACCCATGCAGTCGTCAGTAACCTCCAGGTTTGGAGGGGTGATATTTGACAGATATTTGCTTTGTATTTCTGTATACATATCAGAGATTCTGCGTGCTGTTATTTTTTTTAAAAAGGCCACTTTATTGTTTGTTTCCACATCAGGTCATTCTGAAAATGCAATTCAGTTCTTATCATCATGCTTGCTGTCTATTTGTATCATATTTAGACTCGCGTCTGAAGTGACTCACGATCACGTTTTGTCTTCTAGTATTTCTTTTATTCTTGTGTTTTATTTTTGTGACAATGCAGATCTTTATTTGTTTGGTGATAGATGGACTGTATATCCCTGCTGTCATTAATGTGACTGTTATATTCATGTTGTCATGCCTTCGAGAAAGTAAAACTTGCTTGAAAATTGTTTTGGATTCAGTTTTTTAATGAGTGTCACACCTCACATGAGATGATGTAGCCTTCAGACTTTCACAAATAAAAGGGAAATAGTTCCTCATGCATGATTTAAAGATATGTATGTGGATGAGTTTACTGAGACCTGGGCTCTCCAATGCAGAGACTCAATCAAACAGCGCCCTCTTCTGTCTGCTTTAACACACACACAACATAATCTCAAACAAAGCCCTAAGTATAAAATATAAATTGGAGTTGAGTCCCTTCAATTTGAGTTACAGATTTCCACTGTTAGAATCAATATACCTTCTTTAGACGAGGCCAATTTCTTACTTTTATATTTTAATTACTGTATGGAAGAAAAACATATTGAGTTAAGGGCCTGTTACTAGATGCAAACTGGAGTCCTGTCTTTGGGTAATAAACCTGCCTGGAGAGGCTCTGTGGTCATCTTGTTAAGAGATGGATGGATATAGTGAAAGATGGGGGGTTTACATGAGAAACAGTACAGTACAGACAGGCTGTCATTTAAAAAATCATAAATAAAAAAGGAGAAATAGCATTTATTTTTGCATTTAACCAATAATGTGTGAAATGATTATTGAGGCAACAGTGTTTTAACCATGATTTAACCATGAACATCGGCCTGTAAGCTCACACCCACTGGGAGAACAATGACCAAACATCCAGTCCACTATGTAAATGTGCCACATTCAGCCATACAGGCTAATTTTCATTTGCAGTGCCTGATATACATACGAAACGGCCTTAAGAATGAAGTGCTGTTTATACGCCATCCCATCCCATGATATCGCATTTATTGAACAGATTACAATTTGATGTGTGTACAATTTCATGGCAATCCATCCAGTAATTGTTGAGATATTTTAAGTCAGTAGTCGGACTGACTGACATGCTGCTAGCATTGTTGAAAATATAACTAACTAACATCACTATAAAAAGACTCTCGACTTCTTTGTGATCCACTCAGTTGAAATTTGTGTAAATTTAACGGCACAAAACTCATTTTATTAAGGTAAATGTACAAAATATGATATATATATATATATATATGTCTTCTATGCTCTGCATAGTGACAGTCTCACTGTAATACTGAAATTAAGTGTTCTCCACTTTGAAATGAGATGTGAAAGCAGATAGTGACAATTGGTGGACATCAAACAAATGTCAGCTTGATAAGAGACGTCACTCAGTATTACTTTTACCGTCTGATTCAAACACATGAAAAACACCAGAGGAGCAGGAGTGAACGCAGGGAGTGGACACATCAAACGCTTCTTTTGACTTTCATAAACCAGTGCTGCAACTAAAATACGTCTTAAATTAAGCTTTAATTCAGCATCCATGTTGAAACAGAAGCAGCTGAGCATTGTGGGTGCAGCGTGCGGTCCTTCGAACGCCAACACGGTCAGAAAAATCCTGGGATCTGATGAGCTGGGCCTCCGCAGCCTCCGTCATATGAGCGAGCTCACAGATCCAGATTTAGAAACTTTGAACTGCTGATTTCACAGCAAAAGTGCCCAGTAGCTGAAAATATACCTTTAAATAGACTTTACGAGGCAGAAAATGAACAGTAGCAGGTTTAACTGGAACACTGAGGTTGTTTTTATGCTCCAGTTTGGTGAACTGAAGGTCTGAGATGTGTGTTTGTCCTCTGATCAGTAAACTATATCTCTTTCTTTTCTTCTGTTCATATCATAAACATAAAACACAGGCCCGTAGTGATCCTGAACTGAGGATTTACCTCACGTGTCAAACGATCAACATTCTTATTTTGGCCTTTTCTAAGCTCTCGTCACACAAAGGTTTCCCTTGTTTAAAATGAGAGGTTTTCATCTTATTATGAGATTAGTCTCTTAAGTAACAGGCAGAGGGAGGTGAACGCCACATTGCAGCACAAAACTGACATAACCCGAAAAAAGGAAACCACACAAAGTGCTTTTATTTTAATGTGAATACAAGAACAATACAATATTAAATGTATCAGACATTATAACTGTAATTACATGAAGTGAGTCAGTGGTGAGAGGGCCACAGCACGTCCCTTGGCGCACGGGTTTCGGGCGGGCGTCCCCGAGCCGATCCCCCACTGTCCACACAGGGCTACCTGGTAGTTAAAATAGCCAATTAATTCAATAAATCAAGTCATTGTTTTAGCTCTACTTGTATACTGTTGGGTAATTTAATAATAACATCATCATATTTATAGGATTGTACTGTAAAATCTTAATTTGTAAAGTAACTAGTAGCTGTCAGATAAGTAAAATACTCTGTACTTCCCTTTGAAATGTTGTATAAAGTATGAAGTTGCATGAAAAGAAAATACTCAAGTGAATCTGTGCTTTTACAGTACTTGAGTAAATGTACTAATTTACAATTCAACAGTAATTAAATTACATTTAAATCATATCTTGACTTAATTATAACATTGAAGTTGAATGAATGAAGCCATGAGAATAAGTATCACTTCAAGGAGCAGCAGAGGTCACTTTAGGTCAGTTTCTTCCTCCACTTCTTCTCTTATTCAGTGTAATGTTGATCTCTCTCTCTCTCTCTCTCTCTCTCTCTCTCTCTCTCTCTCTCTCTCTCTCTCTCCCCCTCTCTCTCCCCTCTTACTCCCCTCTGTGCAGTTGTTAATCTGCTGTGTTTGAGCTCTCTGTTGAACTGGAATGTGTCTGGGTGTTTGGGCCAAACAGTCCCGACACGTTGCAGCACCAGCAGATCGCGGCAGAGCGAGGTTACCTGAACTTAAGGAGGATCCAGGAGTCCTCTGGATCTTTTAATCACCCTGCTCCACCTGTTTGACTCGACCGAACAGCTGCAATGAATAACAGCAAGGTCGAATTTGAGCCTTTTGAGTATTCCTACTATGACTATTCAGATTGGTACTCGAACAATGCTGAGCCAACCAAACCACCCAAAGAGTGAGTATAGAACCCCTCTATGTGTGATATTCATTCTTATTTTGATTATTATGTTGTTAAATATTCATTCTACGAACCAGTGCAATGTGGGAATAAATTAGAGTGGATGGCAGGTGGATTCATAAAAGCAGAAAAGTGGTGATTTTATGTGATTTTACTTGTTATTGTGCTTAATTTGAACAAGCAGTTCTAGTAGCCGGTAAACAATCACAGGTAAATTAAACCTGAGCAACCTTGAAACCTTGAAATTGCAATTAATCCAATAAAGAAACAATAAACAGTAAACAGTAAAAAGCTAAATGTGGTTGTTTTTTTGTCACAGAGTTATTCTACCATGTGACCCCACAGTGGACGACAAGCTCTTCCACTTATGCATGCTGTCGATATCGGTAAGTATGTAAAAAAAAAAAAAGTGACCATAAATCTGAAAAGGCTCCCAAACTTTTAGTTTTCAAGTTCAAGTAGTGTCTCTTAAAATGTGTCTTTCTATAAGCTTATGTAAAAGTATTGTGACGTAAGTGCAACTTCAGTCAGAATCAAAATAAATACATAATCACACTATTGTATCCATGGTAGAGTACTTGTACTCAGGATTAAACTTGGTGTGTTAAGGGCTCATTTAAAGCCACACTCGGGTATTCAAAGTTAATGAGGTAGTTAGTTAGCTAGAAAGAGTGGCAGAAAAGAAGTACGACTGTTTCAAAGTCTATGGTTGTAAATAAATATGGAGATTTTAAAAATAGGCCAGGTAAGATGCAACGTCAAGTCAATTGTGGCATCAGAACACTAAAAGTGAGATGGTTCAGGCCCATTTTTAGTCAACAGTGTTGGGCAGTAACTCACAATAACATTACTCTCCCAGTAACTAGAGGTGTAGTAGTACTAATGTATTACTAGCACTAATTACTAATTTATAGTACTAATTTTGTTTAAAAAGTTATTATTAAATCCAACAATCCAATCACATCCTTGGATTTGTTTTTGTAGTTGTGGAGGAAACTAGTTGGGAAGATGGAAACATTCACATTACTTTGATTTTAACAAACAAAACTGGATTTTAATCGTCTTAAGTCTGAATTTTGTAGAGAAGTTTCCCAATTACACATTTTATGGGAAGTAGCAGAACTAATCACTGCTGGCAGGGAACAATAAGTACACTAATAATATTACTTTTGAAAAGAGTAAGAATGAATCAGTATACTGTTGGTGAAAACAGTTTCTGTTAGCAGCGCTGTGGCCAGTGTACAGTACATGGTCCAATTCTGGGTAACACAACCGAACGGCAATAATGGGAGATAATGGAAGTCTTAAAAAACGATAAAAAATAAAACAGAACAAACAAACAAATGAAAAAAAAAACAATTCTTCACTATGTGTGTAGCCGCAGTGAGTTAAACACACTTCTAATGAAGGCTGGAGGCTTTTAAGTCTTTACCATAAACAAAGTTTGACCAAAAGTTATTATAAAAATAGACTAAGTGCAGCAGTATTGTAACTGGATTCAGAAAGAAAAACACAGATTAGCTGCAGACAGCTACCATAGTGGCCAGCTTGGTTAGCTAATCACAGAAAATTTGAAATGATTTAAATTTAATACCAGTAAACAAAAGATTTACATCATCGTCCTCCTAAACCCTGAGTACACAGTGAGAGAGGATTTTTGTTCTGAAGTTTTTTGCTCCTCTATGAATCCATAAAATGTCTTTGCTTCCAGCAGACGTTCAGTTTAATGATGTTGGCTTTTTCATTCTTGCTCAATCACCCAATTACAAGTGAAGGCCTCTTTACCTCGGTTAGGAAGCTCCTCGTACTGTACACTGTCCAATGTCCGCGTTCAGTCAGTGATGAGCAATGAAGTGGGACAGCTGGGTCGCTGCAGCTGATCGGAAACAACAAGACGTCCTCTGAAAAATGAGGTTATTTATTTGAGGCACTCACGAGCTACACAATGCATCAACAAAGCTTTGTTGTTTCAAAAAGTTGCATAGTTTCAGTGAGATACGTTTTTGTAGACTAGAAAAGGTCACATTCCTGTCCCATAATGAGCTACAGTATAGCCTACAGTATGACTTACTGAGCTCGAATCTGAGCTCAACATAAACACCTGATAGTTTCTTTTTGGGGAATTTTCAGTAGCTAACTCATGTCTAAGATGTCGCCAGCTAATCAGATTCAAGTTAAATTCAACTAAACTTTTGAAAATTCAATAAGAAATCACAAAAAACTGAAGAATATAGAATCTGTGGTCTGAAGTCTCGCTGTATGTCCTTTCTCCCTGCAGCTGGTGATCATGTTAATCCTCGCAGTTCTCACCAGGAAGAACAAATTCTGCCAAGGATTCACAAGAGGATCCTCCAGTATCTTCAGGTGAGTTCAGGAAGGTCTAGAGATAAATATTAGCAAGCTTTGTCTCATATCATCTGAAATGTTTCCCCCGTATGATCTTCTACAGTCCAGCTAACTTTCTGGACCAGACTCAGAAGAAAGGTCTGGTTATGGCTATTTTCGGACTCGTGTTCAGCAAGCTGTCGATGCTGGTGATCGCCCCGGACCCGCTGCCTTTCTCCAAAGACACTCCGGCAGAAATTAAAGGTGGACACATTGTCGTGTTTGATTCTTCCAGAATTAAGCTTTGTGTTGTGTTCTGGTGCTTTGATAATAGACCTTTCTCACAGCAGCCATTATGACATGAAATAATAGGGTAAACACAGGTGTTTACTAATGATACTAATTAAAGTTTTCAGGGTGCTGTTGTTGTGAATGTTGGCTCACTCCGCTGCACTAAATGGAAATGGAGCCTTACCCTGATGTTTACCCTACTATTAAAATGGCTGCTGTGAAAAAAGTCATATTTTTAAAAGATTAAATGTTGGATAATTATATAATTAAATAATAAAATGTGTAATCTGTTCTTTGATGTTTAAAAATGAAAATAAGGGAACACAATGTATTCATTTATTAATGAATTTTACAATGAATCTACACAATAAGTAGCAACTGGTAGGCAGTGAAACAGCTGACGAGATTAAATAAAAACAGTATCGATTAGGAGATTTGAGTTTTAGTCTATTTAAGTGAACTAATCTAAGTGGAAGAGTCATGAAATTGTGTTTTTAGGAACTCTGAGAAATAAGAGTTTGATGTAAAAATCCCTTATTTCTTTCTTTCAACCCTTGTTTTACAGAGTACATGAAGATAATCGCCATCTTCTACTATCCCGTCCTGTACTATCCTCTGATGGTCTGCAGCACTCTGCAGCACAAAGCAGGTTATGTGTTCGGGACGCTCCTTTCCTTTACTCACTTCGGGGTCCTGGTGTGGCAGAAGTTCGACTGTCCAAAGACTCCAGAGGTGAGACACCGACATCATGTTAATGTGCCCCAGACAAAGGTTTTTATCACGATACAAGTAGTTTCTTAATTACAATATTGAACTATTATTTAACCGGACAGGAATGTTTGCTTTAGCCTAAAAGAGTGAATTAAAAGTACTTTGTGTCATTAATGCAACAACAAAAAAAGAGTATAAAACAACAGCTAAACAGTCTCTGACAGTTTATATCCTCATATCATCCACCTATATTCCACATCAACGAGCAGAAAATGTTTGGTGTAGAGCCATCTGGTGGTAGTTTTTTAAACATTAATTAATTTCATTTGGCCACTTGGGGGCAGCAGAGCAAGCTGTAAACACAATACAGACATATTATCACCATATAAAGTTGTTAAAGTAAACGTGTTAGCATGTTTCTATCCACCAGGAGTCCAGTATTCACTCTCATTTTAACCTTGTTTTGGTCTCCACCAACATGAATAAATTTGGCTCTTTAGCTCACGAGCTGGTTTCTAACTCTGTGATTCGGTGCTGCAGAGGTTCTGTAAAATGGTTCAATTAGATGTTTTTTCATTCAAAACAGCTGCCTGCTGTTGCTGAAAACAACACGAGAGAGCCGAGAACCAAACCAAGTGGCAAAAAAAGATGCTGAAGCACTAAAAAGAAGTGGTTACATCCCCATAAGTGACCAGTTTCACACAACACATTGTAATTTACTGTTAAAATATTGATTAAAGCAGCTTTAATCTTCAGTAGAAAAGAATTAAAACAGTTGAAAGCGGATGATCTGGACTAACCAGGACATCACTTCTATGTTTTAGCACCTAAAAGTAATTCACCTCAGTTGATACATAAAATATCTCAAAACATGGTCGAATGAAACCACAACTTTTGTGAAGGGAAGTTAATCGATTCTTCATTCTTCCTCCTCACAGATCTATAAGTACTACGCTCTGCTAGGAAGTCTTCCTCAGCTGGCCTGCCTCGCGTATCTCTGCGTCCAGTTTCCTGTGCTGTTTGTCAAAGGACCAAAGACGGACGAGGTGAGTAAAAGTCAGAATACAGACGTCAAACATTCAGATACATAAAGAACCATTTATCCGCCGTTTAAAACACAGCCATACCTTGTTTTCTGCTTTATGACGTATGTATAAATACTCAGGCTGTCTCTGGTGCAACTGAAGAACATGAATTTCCACAATGTAGAACATAACCGTGATTACTATAAGCAGCTTGTGCAGAATAGCGCAGGTTTAACTCAGCGTCCCTGAGCAGATTATGTCGAGGGAGGTGATATTTTTTCCCCCTTTCAGACATATTGAATCAACAGAGTTTTTGTTTTAAGAGCAGGTTTAATCTGCCTACAGTTCAGAAGAGAAATCCCAGTGGTGAGAATAAATAAATTAACTAGCTGGAAAACCAGCACTTTCAGTCACTAATCTCTATTTTACCTTTAAAATTGTCTTTTAATTGTTGGAGCTCATTTATTGAGAATTATACACAGACTGAAGCTCACAGGAATTTTTACAAAGAATAAGAATAATTTTACCTTGAAATGAGGTTGAACCCTCGTTGATGAAATAAATTAAACCTGTTACCTTCTAGTAAAAACATATACTATATATCTCATATATCAATCACACTTTATTTGTACAGCACCTTTCATACAGGTTAGTGCAGTGCTGATAATAAGACAGAATGAGTGTTGACCACAATAGAAAAACATAAAAAATAAATAAAAATGGGCGCCCAGTTAGCTCAGTGGGTAGGCTTAGTCCTTGCTGCGTGTCATCCCCTCTCTCTCTGCCCCCCTTTCCTGTCTGTCTTCAGCTGTATCTATCAAATAAAGGCAATAAAAACTAGATTAGATAAATCTAAAAATACAATACGAACATAAAAATGGCAATAAAATACAATAAAATGGATTAAACTCAATACTAAGTAGTGTTTAAAACTAGAAACTAGATCAAATAGATTCAGAAGACAAAACAAAATAATTAAAATAAATACAATTAACAATAAAATACAATATAAATAAGAGTAAAGGAACATCAAATGATAAAAATCTGTTTTCTTACAAATGATTATTTTTTGCTTTCTGTCGATATCTTGGAATATGATCTGGTTTAAGTGAAGGTGGAGTAACTGAAAACCCAAATAAAAACAGTTCAGATAAAATAAATTAAGATAATATCAGGTTCATGTTTAATTTGAAAGATTTTAGTATCATCATAAGTGATCCCTCGATGTGTTTTTGGCTCACAGGACCTCGACAGCCGCTACTACACCGACTATGTGAAGTTACTTTTTAAGAAAAGGTCCTCAACTGCCAGGTGAGCAGAGATAAACGTGGTAAACGGCCATGTGTATAAACATATATGGGTCGATCTAATGTGTCAGATTCATTGTGATTAAATTTATATATAAATAAAGAGCCTTCATCCTGTACGTGGATAACATGATTCGTTCTGTGTTTTTATATGTTGCAGCTCTTCATCTACAGACAAACCAACGCTGGCTGAGAGAATACTGGAGGTGCCTAAAAGTTACATTTACATACCAGAAAAAGGTTTGTGCACATATACAGATACAAATACACATGTTTTAAATTAACAAAGTTCTTATAGCAGTAACAGTTTTTATTTCTGTCTTAGTGGAAAACTGCTTTTTTATCCCTAAAGTTAAAGTGTGTAACATTACATAAAAATATTCAGAGGTACGTTTTTATTAGTGTATAATCACCTGAATATAGGAACTGACAGACGGATGTTTCATATTATATTCAATGTGTAACAAAAACAGAAAAAAACAGATGATAAAATGTACAATAAACAACTGCAGTAAGTTTGTGTAAAACGAGTGATTTTGCTGAATTTTAAGCAGATTATTTCCGTCTTCTACGATTCTGTCTACAATATGTAATTTTTGTTTAATTTTTAACAATCATAGATACTTAATAGGCTTAATTTTTGACTAATTCAGTGTTTTCTTCTCATTATTCTATCAGCTATCATTGTTTTAACACAGAACTGAACAAAATGCGGAGCTATTGGCCTACTGTTTGTTTTCTAGATCCCCTTTAAATCAAGAAGGCTTTGCAACCCCCCTGTGAAGCTTGGGCGACCCCTAGTGGGGAATCCCGACCCTACAGAATTAGATAATGATTTTATTTTGTCTTTCAGTGTTTCGTTTTCCTCTGAAGCTTGCTGTATCAGCATTCGTTGCCTTTGTGGCGATATATCACGTAAGTCTTCAGAGAATCAGACAGAATACGGTTGCTGCTGTTTACCTGCACGGAACAATAAATACATCATGTGTTCACCTTCCAGGCGGCGCTGTTGTTAGTCGTCCTGGTGGTCCCCACTCTCCATATTGTCCGTGCTGGTATTGATGAAAACATCGCCTTCCTGTTACTCGGGTTTGGGATCGTCCTGTCAGATGACAGAATGGAGGTCGTTGAAATCGTGACCTTCTATACCTGGTTGCTGGAAGGTATGCAGGGATTTTCTTAACAAAACTTGAAGAGTATCGTTATAAAACAAGCAACTGATTTGAGTTTTTTCTTTGTGTTCATGTTGTTTCTGTCAGTGTGCTACCTCTGTGCGATGACCCTGTCTTGTTTGGTCAGTCTCATCATGCTCATGAGGTCCATGATACTTCACAGGTAAGAGGAGTCACTGCTGAACAATCTCTTAAAGAAGTTGGAAGTTGGAAATACGATGACGTAGAGACCCTCATTTACAGTATAGCTTGGTGGTTCCCAACCTGGGTCGCCCAAGCTTCTGCATTTCATTCAGTTCTGTGTAGACAATCAAATGAAAGAAGGTTTAGATTTTTATTTAATCCATTAGAAAAGTTAAAACAACCAAAGAGCTGATAGAACAATGAGAAGAAATCACTGAATGAGTCAAAAAAAGAAGCCTATAAAGTATCTATGATTGTTAAAAATGACAAAATATTACATATTGCAGACAGAATCGTAGATGTTCCTGAAAATATCCAGAAAACTCATCTTTGATCAATATTCACAGGAAATAATCTGCTTTCAAATCCATCATTTTACACAAAGTTAGTGCAGTTGTTGTGTTTATTGTATATTTTATTATCTGTTCTCTTCTGTTATTGTTACTCATTGAACATAATATGAAATATCTACTATATATATTTCTGTTAGGGGTCGTTAGGTTACGATAATAAAGGGATCCCTTAAGGATGTTAAAGGTTGGCAGGAGCTGCTATAGAAGAAGCTATGATACAGTGAATGTGTTAACAGTTGCCCATTTACACATCTTTGTAGACACAGAGCAACATTAGTATCCATGTGGTCACCTGATAAATGTGAATCTGTATACTGAAGAGAATAATAAGCTCCCCCATGCAATGCTTCAACCGGGAGTTTTATGCCCATCAAAGTGCTGAAAACAGCCAATATTTGACTCCCAGGCCTTCCTGTCTGTACGTAATGTACCACTGGTTTTAATTTCTTACAGGTCAAACCTGAAAGGACTGTATAAGGGAGATATTTACAGCATTTATAACAGCCAGAAGACCATCCGTCCCTCTAAACCCGGCATTGTCTGTTGGATGGGCTTGACGGGATACCAGGCTGCGATCGTCTGCGTCGGTAAAGCTCATCACCAGGGATTTTAACTTTATCTAAAAAGAGACGAACACCAACAATGATTTGATCTGACTAGCAAGAGAGAAGTCAAAATCTGAAGATCATAGAGCTCCAAACTATTAAAAACACATAAATGAGCCACATGGCCCCTCTTTACCACACACACACACACACACACACACACACACACACACACACACACACACACAAGAGAGAGAGACAGACGTGTGTTTGGACTCAGTTCCACATTCACCATCCTGCTGCCCCAAATACTCACTGGAGCACTAAATTTAATCAACAGCTGAAAATAGTCCCCAACAAATCACTATACGTACTCACAGTTGAGTAACACTTGTGGAAAAGTTTGTGGACAACAGTTCCTACCAGCCTTGTCCTTTAATTAATTCTGGAAGCGAGTGTGAATACCTTAATGGAAGTGTGTTAAAAATGTCCTTTTCTCTGTGTTGTGTTGGCAGGAATGGCTATTCAGACTGTTGTGTTTTTCATCTGCTTCTTGTTCCTGGTGTTTTTGATCATTATCCCCGTTTTCTACGGTCGCAATATCATCGTCTTTGAAATCGCGGGAAAGGCATGGTGAGTCAGCAACCTTTTCATCATCAGATCATTGATTAAAACAGAGATTAAAGTTCATTTTATTTTTTTAATTTTCCACCTTTGCGATGTCTCAGGCCGGCCTGGGTCACTCTGCTGCTCGTTACTGTGCTTCAACATGTGACTGCTAAGTTTGCTTTCATCAAAAAGGAAGCTGGTACGAGAGACTTGAAGAACAGGTAACTGAAGTCTAATGACAACAACCATGTCTCATATCACATTTAAATCACACATTTCCAAAATATAAACATTTTGAATATATTTCCAATAGAGAAAGTCAAACATCAGCTCTAAATGAACATCGTAAAGCAACTTATCTACATAGAAAATCATAATAATAATCTTTATTTAATCCACGAGGTGACAGTTCTCGGAGCATTTTAATAAAACCATCTTGCGTAGATAAATATTTTGTGGTGATTTCCAGGGAGAGTCTCTTTCTCCTGACGTACCTGCTGTTCCTCATCAACACCGTGGTTGGACTGATCGCCGCAATATGGAGAGTCGTGATAACAGCTTTGTACAATATCGTCCATCTTGGTCGTATTGACATCAGTCTGCTGCACCGCACTGCAGAGTCCTACGACCCAGGTATATTTTATAGGTTTTTAAACAGCTTATGGATGGCAGTTGTATCCTATTGCACTGAGTAATAAGATAAATCAAGCTTTAGGTAGACTTGACCTTGATCTTGGTCTAACCATGCTCTGTGACCTTTCACCCCATCCAGCCTACCGGTACTACACCCACTCCCTGAAGGTGGAGGTCAGCCAGTCACACCCGGTGATGAAGGCTTTCTGCGGGCTGCTGCTGGACATGATGATCGAGTGCGGCCGAGTTGGGCAGAAAATAAGAGACGCAGAGGAAGGTAGAGACCCTGTACTGCACACATGGACATAAAATATACATATATTCTACTTACATATATTCTAGTTTATAATCTTTTAAAATGTGAATAACCGCTAAGAAGAGCAATAAGACAGGAAATAAAGTTCCTCCAAAATACTTTACAACAAGCAAAACCCACCTTGTTTTAATCTCCCACAGGATTTTTACAGGTTTCCCAAGATGATTATCCCAATTTAAATGTTTATAAAGCATGACAACCACCATGGACCCTCAACCCCTCAGTTTGGTGTCTCGTTCTGCCCTGACAGCCTGCTCCTCAATGCTTTCAGGGATTCAGGAGAACAGGCCGAGCAAGGCGACCAGCCGTCAGAGGATCCGCTGTCGCTGGCAGCTGCTGTACACGCTGGTCAACAACCCGTCCCTGCTGGGCTCCAGGAAGCACTTCCAGACGCTGCAGACCTCGGAGAGCATCCTGAATGGGACCCCAAACCACAGCTCCAAGAAAGGCAGCATGAAAGAGGCCGCCGAGCTCGTCCAGTCCACTGAGACCCCAACAAACCAAGATAAAACTGACTGAGAACACTAATATATATATATATATAGTGTTGTTGGCAGTATACTCCAAACAAAATTGTAGCCTGTGAGTCACATTCAACAAAACCCCAGATTATATTAAATGACAACTGTCTTAATGTTAATGGCACCTTAAAGGTCCAATGTGAAACATTTATGAGGCTGTATTGCTTGTTAGAAATGGAATATAATGTATATGAATATAAGAATCTTTGTGTTTTTGTTACCTTAGAATGAGACTTTCTTTTTATCACCACGTTGAACCTCCATGTTTCTACAGTAGCCCAGAACGGACAAACCAAACACTAGCTTTAGATGGACGTTCTCATTCCCAGGTTGTCAAATCCTGACGCGAGCAGGGTTCAGTTATGTGCAACTGCACAACTAGATGCCACTAAATCCTACACACTGGTCTTTTGAGCTTTGGCTCACAGTGACAGTGCTGGTGATCAGAGCCAATGTCATTGTTGTTTTGTTGTGTTTGGAGTATACTGTCAGATGATGGCACTAGAATAAACTAAAGGTTTATCCAAATTAGATGCATGGTGACCGACGTAAAAGACATTTGTTGTTGCCATAGTTTAATTTTTAAAGCTTGAAATCTAGCTTCAACAGTAAGATCTAACATATCTGGTACGGATGTATTTGTCCTTCATTACAGAGTATTTGGGTAAGATCTGCAAACCCTGGATCACCCACAAGGCAGGTGGATCAGGTGTCTCAAAAAAACAATTATATTGGATATTGGATCACTTTACAAGAAGCTGAATGAATGAACTACAGCACATCCCACCTTAATATGAGAGAAGTAAACTTTCATTGTGTTCTGCAGTGCTGTTGAGGCCTTTAGGGATTATTATTGACGTGTTCGGTGCCAGTGCTGATTAATTAGCAGCCTCAGAACCCGAGCTAATGAGTCAGTAAGAGGTCAGAGACCATTTTTGCCTCGGGTTAATGCGGTTATGTCGACACATGCTGGTTTTCAATGTGTCCAGTTGGTTGTTCGAGGGGGTTTGTAAGATCACGGATCAAGAATGAGGCAGTTTCTGGGTTAAAAGCTGGAATTTTATAAGAGATCAATAACATTCTCCATTGTAACCTTTGGCTTATATGCAATGTAATATCTAAATGTGGTTTGTTAGAAGTTCGTCTACTTCACTTTCAGCTTCATAATTATTATAAGATGAATCCTGTGATGGGATATTGAGGTTGATCATATTGCATATTTTCACACACAGATTATATTTTCTGTTATTTCCTGTATGATATTTTAATGGATACACAGACACATTTTTCAAATGTTTGACGAGTGACTGCTGATCCCATTTTTAGATTATAATGAAATAAAATGTGTAAATACATCAGAATGTATGAAGTGTTTATGAGTCCCATCTTTACCTACTAATGTTATAACTGGATCTAGTTAATAAAAGTTTCGTTTTTATTCATCCCATCCTGCTAAAGTTCAATTAATAACTTTATCATTTGACCTATATATCATGAATTTTATTTTAATTCATGTTATTATCAAACCAAATCAGAAAAAAAAAATATCTTTTGTTAGTCACATGTAGGTCTTTTACATTGACAAATTTATTTGTTTCATGTTTATGTCAAATTAAAAGTATGTTTTTAATGTTTCACATATAGTGGTGTCTTGTAATCCCATGTCAGACATACCAAATGTAATTCATTTCATCATTTATCAGGAAAACTAGAGACATATAATGAATCATTCCTTTGTCAAAACTTTATTGAGGCACATAGGATTTAAGGGAGTTAGTGAGGGTATTTAAACACTTTGGTAAAAACATACCGTTTCCTTTATTACAGGGGGTATAAAACAGAAATAACAAACAGCGGCAAACACGGACCCGAAGTCAAGAATTCAGCATACAACAGGCAGCATGCAGGTCTTCTAACACAGAGATACAACAGGATGGACACATGATGACCCAGATACAACTTCACATACACACTCAGTGCCTTTACTGTTGAACACCGCAGTGGACGGAGACAATATTTAACTAACTTGTCCACATTTTTACCAGCGAGACAGCGAGAGAGTTTAGATTTATTCAACATGAAAACAGTAATCTTATCACAGTGTTAACTGGACAAAAGAGCTCACAGCTGCAGGACAACAATGGTTTCCTCTTTGGAACAACACAGTTTAATCTAAACATTTAAACTCCCTCGTGAGAGGGTTGAGTTTCTGTATTTTAAAGCTACTGCACTCCTAAAACCACAGCACACATTTACTGCAAAAGCAGATTATTGGTTAGTCACAGTTAGGCCATTTACTACGCCTACGTCTAGCTGACATTTTGCAATACATGTCGCATGTGGCACAAGCTTTGTTACGTTTGCTCTCACACGTCTTTCTTTTTTTTGTCGTCGCCGTCCTCGTCCGGTCACCATTTCTTTCATCACCGTTTGTTCTGTGCTCTCGTCTGCTGTTCACTCAATAGCTGTTTATTAGAAACAAATATGCTCTAAATAAAGGCGATAATTAGGTTTATATTAATAAATTTATAAGATTATTCCCTGACAGAAACTTCCATTTCTTCCTTTGGGTGTTTGAGCTGTTGAAATCGATCAATTTGGGCAAATAATGTCAATACAGAGACCTATTTGTTTAATTCAAGGTTGACTTTATGGACTGTGCTGTCGCTGTCTGAGAACATTTTGGCAATTTGGGGTCTAAAGTGTCCCAGCTACATTTAGCAGCTCAGCCCCGTCTCCTAGAAAGAGAAACTTTTGTGAATTAGAATGAGGATTTTCTCTTTAATAGGTTAATTGTTGTTCATTAAAGTACCTTAAATGTTCACTGACTACATATTTCATTTGTTTTCTGCCAAAATAGGCAATAATATCCGCTCATAGTGACTACAGTATTATTCAAAAGTCAGCAATGATTTGAGACATAAGCCAAAATCAAAGTGCTTTTTTGCCTCCTTGTGACTCAAAAAGAGTTGTCTGTGAACATAATCCTGACCGGTATTAAATGCTGTGATATGAACACAAAAGTAATTTCTAAGAGACAGGGTCGTGCATGTGTAAGAGCGACTGTTACAGATTGCACAAGAGGCACTAACTAACTAAATAAACCCTCCTTGTTCACTGTGATGGATTACAACTCAAATATATACAATATAACCTCTTGTCTGTTTGTCTGTGGGAAGTGGACGTATCTTAAAACAACAACAGAAAAGATTTCAGTGGTAGAAATTTAACTTTTTTATAGAAGAAGAAGAAGAAGATATACTTTATTGATCCCCTAGGGGAAATTGTTCTGTTATAGGATTTATCTTACAGAACGACTGATGTTTCCTGATGTTATGAACTAGTGCTCTTAACTAAATAAATTGAATAAATAATCATAATAATACATTTTCTTTATCCCATGATTGTCTGTCACTGTCTGGATTTGGATCCAGATGTACATTTTAACATTTCTTAGCATTTTCTATTATTTCTGCATTCTGTGTGCTTTTCTTTTTTAGGACGCCAACTAGTTTACTTAAGCTGTTAGTAAGCTAGATGTTTTTTTTTTTTTTTTACCCTGTTTGTGCTAAGCTAAGCTAACTGGCTGTAGCTGCGCATTTACTGGCGGACATTACGAGTGGTACTGGCGCTCTCCTCCTTTCCTAAATACTCCTTTAAATGCCACTTGTGCTCTGAGGAAGGCCTCTGGCTGAAACACATCATAAAAAATGTCTTAATAAAATATGAAACAGCAAAGATATCGAGTGCTCTGATGGTAGCGTCTCTTCTCTCTACTTTTCTACTCTCTCTGGAACACAAACTGGTTGTATCTTTGTTTGCCAGAGCAGCTTTTTTTTTTAGAAATGTACATGAATGAATTACAATTTAAAAAGAGGAAAACAAGCTGTGATATCCAGAACCCATCAGTTATCCTCTGTCAACAATTTGGTGGACGATGTTTCAGGAGCTAATCTCTATTAACTGATATTTGCATATGAATCTAGTTTTAAAAGAGTGAATAAAAGATTAATTGTTGTCAGACGACAGCTGATCGGTTCTGAGATTGCATTTCGGCCAACGCGCTCCACCTCTTTGGTTCAGACTGCAAGCAACCAAAGCTGCCTCAAGCGTGATTGATCAACACGACTTGCTTTTGATGCCAAAATCGAGTCCTTTGCCTCCAGATTCTGCCTTCATATGCAGATATCTGTTCGTGGAGATTACAACAAGGGTAAAATAGCTTAAACCAGGGCTGATTCACTAAAACGTTTGTCTGGAAAACATCCATATGAAAATTGATAGAGACTGGCAGCTGGTTTTTCCTGTAATGCAGCTTAGGGTGAGGTTTAAAGCGAGTACATTACTTTGAGTCTTGTCACTGAGGAACAAAGCAATATTTCTAGAACAGACCCTAAACTATTGGCACAAACTGATTTTAACCTGTTTTAACCATATGCAAAAGAAACTACAACTGATGATTATGTCAGAAACAATTACTGATTTGGATATTTGTAGTTGCTTATAATATTCACTGCTTCAGCCCCCAAAGGTAACCTATCGCTGTACTCAGATCCTACCTCACAGTTGTCTAAATTCCCCCTGCACTGAGACAGACTAAAGGACTCGGTCATGATGCTTTCTTCTGTATCTGCCTCCCTCTCTCCGTCTCTGCTCTCCGTCTCTCCCTCCTCCTCGTCCAGCTGGCTGCCGTTTATCTTCCTCTGAGACTCAGTGTGAGACGCGTGGATGTTGAAGTTGGTGGCGAGGTTCCTCTCCATGTGATACTGGTCTTTGGCCTTCAGTATCAGCTTGTAGGTCTTGCTGCGGTATTTGTACACCAGGTGGAAGCACGTCGCACCGAGGAGTGGCACGGTAGACACGGTGAGGAGGCAGATGCTTACGGAGATGATGATAAGCAGGTTAGGGACCCTCCTCCTGGTGGTGAACAGCACCTGGACCTCACAGTCCTCCCCTCTGTAGGTCAGACACAGGGAGTAGTTGGTGCCAGGACGGAGGCCGCTGAACAGATACGTGTTCACGCCCTCTTTGATCCTCGACCACTGCACGGCTGAGTGTTTGCGGTCTGCGGTGACGCACAGATACAAGCCATTTGAATGGACTTTTTCAGAAGCGTCTGAAAGGCCGTGATGCTCTTCGCTGTCGGCCTGGAAGCTCTCGGACGAGGCGGTGGCTGCGGCGGCCCTGTTAGCGCTCCTGTCTCTGGGTATGAGAAGAGGGTTGAGTCGCACTGTCGCCTCTGTTTCTGACACCCCTAATGCGATGACTCCAAAGTCAAACGTGTACTGCTTGATGTCATCCAGGCTCCCGTTGAAGACGTGGCTAGAAATGTATCTTGTGTTAGCCGTCAAGCCACATTTACTAGCACGTGACGGATATGTCGTTGCCTCTTCAGAAGACGTGATCTCCGCAGTGGGCGGGAAAGTGGGTACGACGTTCATGATTTGATGCACAGAATCAACAACAGACGTTTTATCCGTTTGGCGTATAGATTGTGGCGTTCTAGTGTACGAAGGTGTTGTGGTTATTTGTTTCACAGGTGGTGGTTTTGGTGAAGCCACCACCTTCACTGACACCGAATCCTCAGCTCTTCCAAATTCGTTCGTGGCCGAGCAGCTGTAGTTGCCGCCGTCTTCCTTCCTGAGGTGTGAAATGACAACAGTGCCGTTGTTAAAGACTTTGACAGGATCATGGGACAGTAAGGAGGCCTCGTCTGGTTCTGCTGAGTCATCCTCAGTGAACGACAAAGCCAGCTCTTGCTTCTGGCTCTGGCTGCGAATGCTCCACATGACCAGCGGCTTTGGGTTTCCTGTGAATTGACAAGTCAAGACCAGTGTGCTGCCCTCATAGAAAGTTTTGTTTTGAGTATTTGGCTCAATTCGTATTGTGACACTTGTGCTTGTGCACTTTGACTCGGGCAGTTTTCTGATCACTTCCCCTTTAAGTTTCTCCGGAGACGCACAAGTGATCAGATGCTGCTCCGGGACTGTGATGGTGGTTGTTGAAATCCAGTCTCTGAACCAGTCGATGGAGCAGGTGCACACAAAAGGGTTTTCATAAATCTGCAGATAGGACAGCGACACCAAACCGTCAAACGTCCCCTCAGCTATGGTTGTGAATTTGTTACCGTTGAGCCGTAGGGACCTCAGGTCTTTGAGGCTGGATAGGGCGTCCCTCGGCAGGTGGATCATCTCGTTGTGGTTCATCTTCAAAAGCTGCAGGCCTGTGAGGTTCTGCAGATCCTCCCAAGGAAAGTCTACGATTTTATTGTGGCTGACGTCAAAGTTACGCAGGTGAACCAAAGGCGCGAGGGCCCCTGGTTCGATGGAGATGATCTCATTGTGGGCCATCCACAGCGACGTCACCTGGGTGACATTGTCGAAGCTCCCCAGCGGTATCACACTGATCTTGTTGGCGGAGAGACTCATGGTTGTAACATTAGGAGGAAAATCGTCTGGGACTTCAGCTAAGTCTTTGTAGGAGCATTCGGCAAAATGGCGGAAGTATTTGTCTGAGCAGGCACAGAGCTCAGGGCATCCGAGTCCGCTGGGGAAGACTGTGGTGACCCACAAAGTGAAGTAGAGGATGTCTGCGGCCGCCATTTTCTGCCCCTGTAAAACAGTGTCACAGTTCGTCCGTCAATCAGTAGATTAAACTTATTATTGATTTATTTGGCACATTTAAAAAGGGATAATTCCACACTAGTTACTGGATGATCCCTTTAAATCAAAAGTACTACAGCAGAGGAGCAGTTTAACAGAAAATGAAGCATCAACAAAAAAAATTCAGCTTTAGAGACTGTTAGAGGGCTTTTAGGGAGTTTCTCCTTGACCTGAAAAGGGTCTAAAGATAGAAAGTGTTATATGCTGCAGACTGTAAAGCCCTTTGCAGTGTAAAGTTTGAGTGAGATTAGGAAAGTTCTGATGGTGACGGGAAGAATAGGATGTATGCCGGTATATTTATTAAACATCATTCACCCTCATACATCAATAATTCTAACCATGAACTATACATGATAATGAAGATACAGAAAAATAGAAAGGCATAGCAGAAATAGCATCATGTCTTATTAAGATTCTCCTCCTGTAGTTTGAATCCTGAGGCACACCTCTAATTTTTGGTTATAGAAATAAAACTGACTTTTGACTTGACTCACCTGGTTGGACGTGCAGCTCTGTCAGTGAACGCTAAATATACATTAGTTTTACTCGTTACAGCGGTTATTTACCCGCTTAACATTTAAACGTAGACTAGTTCTACTTAAACACTCGGAGTTTCTCCCTCTTTTAGGGACTTTTCACTACTTTCTTCCTCTTCCTCTGTCCTGCTCAGTGTGTCAGATGTTCAGTTATTCCTCTGCCTCCTTTAAAGATAATGGTTCCTGTATTAAATGTAGTTTGTTTACTGCGCTGGAGGCGAGGCTTAGTGAGTCCCGGTACTTCCCCCGGTAGTTCCCGAGCAGCCGGGCAGACAGGGAGGCTGGGTGACTGAGCGAAGGAAGACTAAAACGGCGAAAGCCCACAGTTCACCACCAACCGCTTCACGTTTCTAATACATTGTCCCCACTCAGCGATACACCCGCTGAGGAACCAACTCTGGTTATTGGCAGCTCCATAGTTAAATGTATCCCTGGGGCCAGAGCGGGCGACATTGAATCAAATTTAAAACTGCTGGCTAAAGATAAACGTAAATACAGTAAGATTGTTATCCACGTCGGCGGTAACGACACCCGTTTACGCCAATCGGAGGTCACTAAGATTAATGTGGAGTCGGTGTGTAACTATGCTAAGACAATGTCGGACACCGTAGTTTTCTCTGGACCCCTCCCCAATGTGACCAGTGATGACATGTATAGCCGCATGTCGTCATTCCACCGCTGGCTGTCGAGGTGGTGTCCAGCAAACGATGTGGGCTTCATTGATAACTGGAAGCCTTTTTGGGGAAAACCTGGTCTGATTAGGAGAGACGGCATCCATCCCACTTTGGATGGAGCGGCTCTCTTATCTACAAATATGGAGAAGTTTATTTCTAAAACCTGACAGTCCAGAGTTAGGACCAGGAAGCAGAGCTGCTGTCTTACACACTCCTCTGCGCTTTCTTTAGAACAGTCACCCACCCAAAACCCCATAGAGACTGTGTCTGTCCCCCGACCACCTAAACTATTTAAAGAAATAAAAACAAGAGGAGTTCAACATAAAAATCTAATAAAAATTAAAACCAACTCCTCAGTAGCACAAAATAAGAGAATGAAATGTGGGCTGTTAAATATCAGGTCTCTGTCCTCTAAAGCTGTTCTAGTGAATGAATTAATATCAGATTATGATATTGATTTACTTTGTCTTACTGAGACCTGGTTGTCCCACGAGGAGTATGTTAGCCTAAATGAATCCCCCCCCCAGTCATATTAATACTCACATTCCTCGAGGCACAGGCCGAGGAGGTGGAGTGGCAGCCATATATGATTCGAGCGTTTTAATGGACCCTAAACCTAAACTAAATTATAATTCATTTGAAAGCCTTGTTCTTAGTCTTTCTCACCCAAACTGGAAAACACTGCAGCCAGTTCTATTTGTTATAGTGTACCGCGCTCCTGGACCATACTCTGATTTTATATCTGAATTTTCAGAGTTTCTATCAAGCTTAGTCCTTAAATCAGATAAAGTAATTATTGTAGGTGATTTTAATATTCATGTGGATGTTAACAACGACAGCCTTAGTAAAGCATTTATATCATTAATAGACTCAATTGGCTTCTGTCAGAGTGTAAATAAACCAACTCATTGTTTTAATCACACTCTTGACCTTGTTTTATCATATGGCATTGATATTGAACATTTAATAGTCTTCCCACATAATCCTTTCCTATCTGACCATTATTTAGTAACTTTTGAATTCATACTATTAGATTATAAGCCATTAGGCAAAACTTCCTACAGCAGATGTCTATCTGACAGTGCTGTAGCTAAATTTAAGGAGGAGATTCCTTCAGTGTTTAATTCAATGCCATGTCTGAATTTAACAGAGTCCTATAATGACTTTAGTCCCTCTGAAATTGATAATCTTGTCGATAGTGCTGCAGGCTCACTACGATCAACATTAGACTCTATCGCTCCTATAAAAAGGAAATTATTAAAACATAGGAGACTAGCACCTTGGTATAACCACCAAACCCGCCAGTTAAAACAAATAGCTAGAAAATCTGAAAGGAAATGGCGCTCTTCCAAATTATCAGAATATCGCTCAAATTGGCAAGATGATCTTAAGATTTATAGAAAGGCCCTCCGTAATGCCAGAGGAGCCTATTATTCAGCACTAATTGAAGAAAATAAGAACAACCCTAGGTTCCTCTTCAGCACTGTAGCCAGGCTGACAGAGAGTCACAGCTCTATTGAGCCACATATCCCCATAAACTTAAGTAGCAATGACTTCATGAGCTTCTTCTATAATAAAATTATTACTATTAGAGAAAAAATTAATCACCAACTGCCATCAACAGTTATCAGTGGCTCTCCAAGTTCAGGGACTTCTGTCAATGTAAACTTAGATGTATATTTAGACTGTTTTTCTGCTATCGATCTTCATCAGTTAACTTCAATCATTTCTTCATCGAAGCCATCAACCTGTCTGTTAGACCCGATCCCAACTAGGCTGCTTAAAGAAGTTGTTCCCTTAATTGGCACTTCTTTACTGGATATGATTAATCTTTCTTTATTATCAGGATATGTACCACAGTCCTTTAAAGTAGCTGTAATTAAACCCCTTCTTAAAAAGTCCACTCTTGACCCAGGGGTTTTAGCCAACTATAGACCGATTTCTAACCTCCCGTTCCTCTCTAAGATTCTGGAGAAAGTAGTCGCCAAAGAGTTGTGTGACTTTCTACATAACAATAGTTTATTTGAGGAATTTTCAGTCAGGATTTAGAGTTCATCATAGCACAGAGACAGCTCTGGTTAAAGTTAATAATGACCTTCTGACTGCTTCTGACAATGGACTTGTCTCTGTACTTGTATTATTAGATCTTAGTGCTGCATTTGACACCATTGACCATGATATTCTTTTACAGAGACTTGAGCATCAAATTGGCATTAAAGGAACTGCCCTAACCTGGTTTAAGTCATACTTATCAGATCGTTCTCAGTTTGTACATGTTAACGATGAATCCTCCATAAATACTAAAGTTAGTCATGGAGTTCCACAAGGTTCTGTACTTGGACCAATACTATTTACTTTATATATGCTCCCTTTAGGCAACATTATTAGGAATCACTCCATTAACTTTCACTGTTATGCAGATGATACGCAGTTATATCTATCAATCAAACCCAATGAAATTAATCAATTATCTAAATTACAAACATGTCTTAAGGACATAAAATCCTGGATGACCTGCAATTTTCTGATGTTAAACTCAGAAAAAACCGAAATTCTTGTTCTTGGCCCCAAAAACCTTAGAGACTCACTGTCTAAAGATATAGTCACTCTAGATGGCATTAACCTTGGCCTCTAGCACCACTGTCAGGAATCTTGGAGTTATCTTTGATCAGGATTTGTCATTTAACTCCCACATAAAGCAGACCTCTAGGACTGCCTACTTTCATTTACGTAATATTAGAAAAAATTAGACACATACTATCACAGACAGATGCAGAAAAACTAATCCATGCATTTGTTACTTCAAGGCTGGATTACTGCAACTCTTTATTATCAGGTTGCCCCAATAAGTCCATTAAAACGCTCCAATTAATTCAGAACGCTGCAGCACGAGTACTGACAGGAACTAGAAAAAGAGATCACATCTCTCCTGTACTAGCTACTCTGCATTGGCTCCCCTATAAAATGTAGAATTGAATTTAAAATCCTCCTCCTCACCTATAAAGCTCTTCATGGTCAGGCCCCTTCATATCTTAAAGAGCTCATAGTACCCTATTACCCCACTAGAACACTACGTTCTCTGAATGCTGGGCTACTTGTGGTTCCTATAGTCTCTAAAAGTAGAACAGGAGCCAGAGCCTTCAGTTACCAAGCTCCTCTCCTGTGGAACCAGCTTCCAGTTGTGGTTCGGGAGGCAGACACCCTCACCACATTCAAGAGTAGGCTTAAGACATTCCTCTTTGATAAAGCTTATAGTTAGGGCTGGATCAGGTGAGTCCTGAACCATCCCTTAGTTATGCTGCTATAGGCCTAGACTATCGGGGGATTTCCCATGGTGCACTGAGCTACTCTCTTCCTCTCTCTTTCTGCACTCATTCATGTCCCTTTAATGCATGTTACTAACTCCACTTCTTCCCCGGAGTTCTTGTGCTTTCTCGTCTCGCAGGTTCTCATGGATCCTGGTGGAGCCTCCTGCCATGGTCCTGCTTGACTGCCATTGCCAATACTGTTGTTGCTGTGCACCTGTCTGTCTCGTCTCTCTCTCTCTGTCGCTCTCTCTCTCTCTCTCTCTCTCACCCCACCCCAACTGGTCGAGACAGACGACCACCCACCTAGAGCCGGAGGATCTGTCCTAGGTTTCTGCCTTTTAACAGGCAGTTTTTCCTTGCCCTTGTCGCCAAGTGCTTGCTCATGGTGGTACTGTTGGGTCTCTGTAATTAATGTTAAAGAGTTCGGTCTAGACCTGCTCTATTTGAAAAGTGTCCTGAGATAACTTCTGTTATGAATTGGCGCTATACAAATAAAATTGAATTGAATTGAATTGAATTGAATCTTCTGACGGCTCATCCTCACTGTCTGGCTATATCGGTGCTTCTGGGAATATCTGATGTGTTTTTATTCTTATTTATTTGTTCTTGTTTCTTACGGCACTTTTATACCATTTTTAGGACAAGTGCTATATTTTGTAAAGTTTATCATTATTGTTATTAAAAGCATGAGTTAACATGTATATCTCCAGTCGGCTACCTTTGCTCATCATGTCTACCTCTTCATCTGTCTCTATCAAAAAAAAAATGCCTCAAACATTCAAAAACAAAACCTGTATGGCTGCCTGACAATCCAGAAGGCCCTGTGGTGTCTGGGGAAAACAGCAACCTCACAGCTCATCCTAAAAACCGGCTCGCTCTCTCTTTGCCTTGAGGCTTTGCAGATGATATGTGTCATATCAGAGAGGAGACTCTTGTCTGTTGAGTCATTGGCAGAAGCGTCTGGTTTGCAGCTACGCAGCCGCCTCCGGAGCTCTGTCCCCGGTGCTGAAAGGCAGTCTGTGTGTCTCTGTTTACAGCAGTCTGCATCTGCTGCGTGCATTCACTCTGTAATGTCGCCCATTAAAACAACCACGACAGCCAATGCAACCAGAAAAACAACAGGATCAAAGTTCACCTCTGCAGGAAAAAGAAACGACGCAGGGTGCGCACATTGAGCATTGATGAGGATGAGGATGAGGATGATGAGGAGGGGGTGAAGAAGAACCATAACCTCGGCGTCAGCAGCCTCAAACAAGCTTACCTGCGTTTTTTATTTCTGTTTGTGGAGAGAAAATCCGGAGCTGTGTGTCTGTGTGTGTCCAGTCAGAGCCGAGCAGCATCACCTACATGCTGTCTGTGAAGTTTGGAGATGAAGCTGAGTCCGTCCGTCTGTCTGTCTGTCTGTCTGTCTCCTACATGGTGAAAACACGCGTGTCCGCTGCTGGGTTTCTCCTGCCTGAGAATATATGTCATACTGAGTTATATCTCCCCCTCTTCCTCCTCTTCCTCCTCCTCCTCCTCCTCCTCCTCCTCACTGCTCTGGACAGAACAGCATCAACGTTTCCGACACAAATAAAGGCTTTAAAGGCGAAACGACCTTGAACGTGAACGTCACTGTTCACAGGAGATGACGACTGATGAGAGGGCTGATGATGTAAATTATAATGATAATAAGTCTTTTACAAATAATAAAAAAAGATTGATTGTTTGCCTTCAAATAAGCAGGTAGACCTTGTGAAAGGTTTTGCTTAAAGCTGCACTAATCAGTAGTTTAATATTAAAGGGATATTGCGTTTATATAAAGTTAAAGGGACTCAGA